CACAAGTCATCACCGGCTTTGATGGATCCAAGAGCCATGCAACATATGAAACTCAACTACACATGAATGAAGACACACACTTAACTGAATTTATTATTACTAAAATCAAAGACTCTTATGATGGAATCTTAGGTATTCCTTGGATCAAAGAACACCATGACCTCATTGATTGGAAAACTGGAAATGTACACCTACGGCCTCATATTGCAACCATCTCATTGGTTTTGTCCTATCCGACAACACCCTTACCTGGACCCCTGATGGATCCCGTAAGGGAAGCTAGGAAATGTGACAAGGGGGTGTGTACCAATAGTACATTAACACCCCCGCAATGTGAGTTTGATAATCTTTCTCCTGATCCAAGTCATGACACAGTTGGCAAGCTTCCACATCTCTTTGATTTCAGTATTCCCATCACAACTCAAGACACTTCAGACGTTACAACATCCAAGATTTATGACACAGATGACTCAATCACCGAACCTCAAATGACTACACTGTTACCAGCATCAAATCAAGATGACCTAATTGCGATTGAACTTTCAGTATTGTCTATTCCAAACCATAACCCCGAGGATCTCAAGGAGAAGCCATTGGGGCAAGCAAGGAAACTAGACAAGGGGGCTTGTATCGGAGACAATACTCAAATGCCCCCGCAATGTGAGTTTGCTAGCCTTTGTTCAAACCCTCGATCTTGTGAAAAAGCTAGCCACCTTTCTCTCCCTCTGGACAGTCTTTTACATATCAACGAGGCAAAGACATCGTGGTCAACTTCAGCACAACTAGCGGCGGATCTGAAACTTAAGGACCCTGTGAAAATGGTCGAAGAAATGGTGCTGGCCTATTACCATAGACCTTTCAACATGTTCCAAAAATCCAACGCCCAATGCTTACCGCCCCGCCAAAAATACAATTTTAAGGTTGATTTAATTCCTGGAGCTCAACCTCAAGCCAGTAGAATAATTCCCTTTTCCCCAGCTGAAAACAAAGCGCTGGATGAAATGATAAACAACAGTCTTGCTAACGGCACTATAAGACGCCCTACATCCCCTTGGGCAGCGCCCGTGTTGTTCACTGGCAAGAAAGACGGAAATCTTTGTCCGTGCTTTGGTTATTGCAAGCTAAACGCATTGGCTGTCAAGAATAAATATCCTTTACCTCTTACCATGGACTTAGTCAACGGTCTTTTGGACGCAGACAAATTCACTAAGCTGGATATGCGCAACGCATATGGAAATTCATGAGTCACAGGAAGATGAAGACAAGCTGGCCTTTATATGTAAGCAGGGCCAGTTTGCTCCACTTACCATGCCCTTTGGTCCCACAGGGGCACCAGGATATTTCCAGTTTTTTATTCAAGATATACTTGTTGGAAGGATTGGCCAAGACATCACTGCTTATTTAGATGACACTATGATTTATACAAAGGAAGGAGTTCATCACGAAAAGCAAGTGGATGGAGTACTGGACATATTAAGCAATCATCAGCTATGGCTCAAGCCTGAGAAGTGTGAGTTCTCAAAGTCCAAAGTTGAATACCTTGGTTTATTAATCTTGAAAAATAGAGTAAAGATGGACCCTACCAAGGTCAAGGCTGTAGAGGATTGGCCGGCGCCTTGTAATGTTACGGAGCTACAGCGTTTTATTAGATTCTCTAACTTCTATAGACATTTCATAGATCATGTTTCACATACTACTAGGACTTTGCATAATCTTACAAGAATTAATACTCCTTACAAGTGGACTGAAGACTGTAACCAAGCTTTTTAAACACTTAAAAATTCATTTTGCTCAGCTCATATTCTGAAAATTGCGGATCCCTATAAGCCATTTGTACTAGAATGTGACTGTTCTGATTTGGCTCTAGGCGCTATATTATCTCAGAACAGCACAGATGATGGTGAAATGCACCTGGTGGCGTATTTATCATGTTCATTGGTTCAAGCAGGACGTAATTACAAAATTTTTGATAAGGAATTGTTGGCCATTGTAGCGGCTTTTCAAGAGTGGCGCCATTATCTAGAGGGTAACCCTAATAGATTAGAAGTCATTGTTTATACCGACCATCACAATCTAGAAACTTTTATGACAACCAAGCAACTTACACGCCAACAAGCTCGATGGGCCAAAACATTAGGGTGTTTTGATTTTCAAATCAAATTCCGGCCAGGAAAGAAGGCAACCAAGCCTGATGCATTATCAAGACACCCAGATCTAGCCCCAATTCATGGGGAGAATCTCAATTTTGGCCAATTACTACGACCAGAGAATATTACTCCAGGCACGTTTGAAGCCAAAATTGACAGTTTTGATTCTTTTTTCAAAGATGTGACCATTGACTTAGATGATGCTGAACATTTGTTTGAAGTGGACGTGTTAGGCATATCAGACAAAGCAGTACCAATTGAACCACATGAAGAAAGCCCTATTCTCACCAACAATGAAATTATAACGCTGGTCAAAGAGTCAAACCAAAAGGATGAACATATTACTGAATTGATGAACGCAACGGAAAATCCAATTTTGACAATAATTTGTAACGCAACAAAGAATTATCAGGTCAAAGATGGTGTGCTTTATAATCAAGGCTGGATTGAAATTCCAGATGATGAGAATATTAAGTATCACATTCTTTGAAGCAGACATGATTCACTACTTTTGGGTCATCCTGGTAGAGCTAAAACATTGAATCTGATCCGTAGGAGTTTCATATGGCCGTCTCAAACTGCTTTCGTTAACAGATACGTTGACAACTGTGACTCTTGCCTTTGAGTCAAATCAAGTACTAAGAAGCCCATGGGTACTTTGGAGCCATTACCAATTCCGGCTGGTCCTTGGAAAGATATCAGTTATGATTTAATAACCAAACTACCTGAATCAAATGGGTATGATAGTATTTTAACAGTCGTTGATAGAATGACTAAAATGAGCCATTTTATACCTTGCAGAGAATCAATGAGAGCTACTGACCTGGCGGATCTGATGATTAAGAATGTGTGGAAGTTACATGGAACTCCTAAAACTATAGTATCAGATAGAGGTAATATATTCATCTCACAAATTACGCAAGAAATTGACAAACAACTAGGTATTTGACTACATCCGTTGACAGTGTACCACCCCAGATCCAAAGGACAATCCAAAATTGTAAACAAGGCTATTGAGCAGTATTTAGGTCACTTTGTAGGGTATTGTCAAGATGGTTGGGAAAGCTTATTGCCGACGGCTGAGTTTGCGTATAATACAATGATCACAAATCTGCCGGAGTATCACCTTTCAAAGCTAACTATGGGTTTAATCCAAACTTCAACAGAATTCCATTGGCGGAGCAATGTATCCCGGTCGTTGAAGATAGACTGACAACATTAGCAGAGGTTCAATCAGAATTAGCTAATTGTTTACAAATGACACAGGAATCGATGAAAAAACAATTCGACAAACATGTGCCACAAACAAATGGAAGGAGGGAGACCAAGTATGGCTGAATGGGAGGAACATCTCAACAACCAGGCCGTGTCCTAAATTAGAATACAGATGGCTAGGTCTCTTTTCCATTATTTCTCGGTTTTCTAATTCTGCTTATAAATTGAATTTACCGCTTTCAATGAAAGGTGTTCATCCAGTATTTCACGTATCACTTTTGCGTAAACACTGTCACGATAGTATTGGTCAAAGAAAAAAAGTCACACCACCAGCAATCAAAATTGAAGGAGAAGATGAATACAACCTTTCAGAAATATTAGACGCAAGGTCAAGATATAAGAAAAAGGAATATCTAGTTAGTTGGAAAGGGTTCAGTAAGGAGCACAATTCATGGGAACTGGATTCAAATTTGAAGAATTGTCAAGATTTGGTAAAAGAGTTTAATATTAAATTTCCAAATGGTACAAGAAAATTCAAGAGGAGACGGAGAAGAAAGTGAGAGGACAAAGATTTTTCCCTATTCATCATTGGGTTTTTTAATGCTGTCCGTGGAAAGAACACAGAACTTGCAAGGGGGAGTTTGGGTGTTAAAAGGGGGATAATGTTATGACTACACACTGCTTGAAAGGTCTATTACAACTGTCACAAATCAGACTTGTTATTATGTTGTAATTGCGTCGTATTGTAGATCCTTTTCCCATCCAACAATCACAATAAGAAACCTGCTAGTAGATCAGAATCCTTCATCTCTTGAACTGAACCGTGAGACCAATCATAACATATATGATCAATGTGATCCTCTACAGAAGTAAGTTTGTCCCCTTCTTTCATGATGTTTTTTTGCTCACCAAGCATTCAATTTTTAGGATGCTCTTCCTGTATCTTTGGATCCCAATTGTACAAAAACTCTTGGATGACTACACTCAAATAAAGAATACTTCCCGGACTTGAAAAAATAAGCAATCAGTTCTTCCAACAGGTACAATTCCCAATGTAGTCTACTACTTGCCTGAAGGGTTGTATGGTATAGATGGCCTGATTCCAGTTCCCAAATCAACAATTCAAGCTCTCAGACATGAACATTTCCCGGATTCAGATCTACTATTTCGAGTCACGCCAAAAGCCTTCCAAGAACAAGTTGCCAGTGCAATTAGATGCTTAGAAATCCTACCTGATTATATTTCAATCGAGACTGTCTGGCATGTCTTTCCTGCTATTTTAGCTGTTCTCAGGTGTCTCAATGTGGATGTAAATGAAGCAAGATTGATGTATAAACATCATACAAACTTTGTCCCTCAGGTAGAGATTGGGGATGGAGATAGATTAGCACCTATGATTGATATAGCTCATCCAAATGTGCTAAACTATTTTTTTATTGTTCTCCATAGCTAATTAGTTTGTTGAACTTTTGAACTCAACATTTCTAATTGATCACAACACATTTCTGGGTTTGCACAATAAGTTTTGATTTGATATTCACACAGAGTTGTTATTTTTTTATGAGAAAGTATCTATGAGGTACATATATCAGGATGTATAAGTCAAGGTAAATTGATTCTATTAAAACAATTCTCAACTCAATTCTCACCGTCATCCTCATGATCAATCACACCTGCTTCTTCTTCCAATTGAGAGGTGCCACTTCTAGACTCTTTGTTTTGAATGTTTGATCTTCCATCTTCTGGTGTAGCTTCAAAATCATTATGTTCTGATAAATTCTTCTTGTCTGTCTTGTCATACTTGAATGATGCTGGATTCAAATCAAGTGCAAAGCAAGCAGTCCTGCATATATGACTTGAAATAAATGCATCAAGTCCACCTTGGCCGGGGTTGTCCCATGACCACTTGTGCCTAAATAACCATTCTTATGTCGAAATTAGTTATTTTGCCGTGCTTATGTGAATGGTCATACAAAATGAAATTGAAAACATGCTTGTGGTCAATCATGCACATTCCAGTCAGTGATCCATCCTTGAACTTGATGTTTGAAACCAGTGCTTGACCTTGGAAGTAGTCATAGGTGAAATGCACAAATGCGCTCAAACAATCTGATGATATAGATTTGGGCTGTGCAGGGCTGAAAGCTTGTGTGATATAAATCACTTCTAGTGGATGATTCAAGACTTCTTCAATGTGATAAAGCTTAGAGGGTTCATCTCTCAGTACCATATTGAACACAATCTGCAAAGACACATATGTTAGTAGAGGAAGAATTGAGAGACAATATAGCCTACTTGTAGAGTATTCAACAACCACTTTTGATCATCTGTCACATGAATCAAGAAAAACATTGCAATTTTGAAATGTTCAAGTAGGCATGAAGTCAGAAGATACACTGCCAATTCTGTTAAGTAGGTGTCTTCATTACGTCCTTCAACATTGGTAATTTTTTTAGCAACAACAGTAAAAGCTTTTTCATCAATGAGTAAATTTCCCTTGTAGCTTGATTGTCTTGTTCCCCTAACCATCAAATAATCTTTAATAGTTTGCATTGTCCACCATTGACCAAATTTGAGATTTTTGAGGGTTGGATCAAGACTTAAGTCATCTGACTGTGCAACAAGCGCAATTAAGACGCCAATAGCCCAAGGCATTGGTTCTTTGTCCTGGATTTTATCTTCAAGTTCAGGTTGAGACAAGTATTGATACTGTTTTTGGTTGACTTTAACACAAAAGAGGTACTGCTCACCTATTTTAAGATGCATCTGTAGAGTGTCACTCCATGAAATGACAGTGATTATCTGATCAGGCCCAGCAGGATGACCATCAGGCAGAGGAGTTGCATATTCTTGAAGGGCCCCTGATTTCAAAGAGTTGAAATTTGGTTGTGCAGCCACAACTGAATCCGCTGATATCCTAAGAGGGTTGATACCTTGATTTGTCAGCTGATGGATACACCTAATAGTAAGGTTTACAGAGTTTGACATATCATCTGTCCACAAAACTGGCTCATCAATATCTGTTATCAAAAGTTTTATTAGTATCAGGTAAGCCACACCAATAAGAAAGAATACTAACATAACTTTGACAGCCTGAGATACCATCTGATTAATGGCTGGAACTGGTTTACAGAAGTCAGAAAGTTCCTCCAATTCCTTGATTTCTTCACTTTCTTTACCTTCATTGCCTTGGTCTCCTTTTTTGCTCTCCTCACTTTCTGAATTTGTATCAGAATGGGAACTTGTTGTCAAGATTGAAGCTAAGTATGTTGCAGCCGCAAATGAAAGAGTAATGACTAGTGGGCCTTGTTTGCGTTTACCAGGCTGTGGAGTGTCATGAGAGATGATCTCATCCTTGAGGAGATCTCCAGAGAGCTTTGCATTATTCACACCAAGTGAATAGAAAGTGCTATCATAAGGTGGGAGATCCGGTTATAAAAGTTGGTTGGTCTTGCAAGATTTGGTCAAGGGTTGAAAGAATCCTAATGAGTTTTGGCGGTGTGGTGATCAGAACACACCATCACCCTCACCTTTTATATACACAAAGAAGGACTCAAGGAGCCTAAAGTCTTACTCGCTGAGAGCAGATTTCAAGCTCTAGTCAAGATGTTATTCAACAAAGGGAGTCAAAAAACCTTATTGAGTTCATTTCAACTTTCTAAGTGGTATCATATTTAATAAAGTCAGACGTGACAACAGAGTAATTCATATAGTTTAAAACAAAGAATGATAACAAGAATATAATACGGAACAAGGATTTGAGTAAAATCAAAGTAAAGAAGTCAATTCAGAGACAGGACACATTGAGAAAGTTGCATATCAAGGATAGAAACTAAAATAACAGAGGGTATCATCAAGGTAGTGGAGAACATAAGGGTGAAGTAAAGTTTGATAAGGTACGAAAGCTGGAATTAAGGAGACAAAGTATGGAAATAAAGAGGAAGTTGAAGGAGACAATTTACATATAGAGAAGAGTAAGATTCAGACGTTAGAAGCGAGTTGATTGGAGACGTGTCTATGAAGAGAATAAGTTAAGACTCACCCTTGTTCATATTCAAATGAGGGGTTCAGATCGATTTTGGGGTACCTACTTAGAAAAGATAAGAGAGAAGATGTCAGTAGAGCGTGAAATTGAAAAAACGAATCAGTGAGGAAGATGTGAGACTCACCTCTTGGCATGCAAGATCAAAAGAAGCCTTGAAATCGAAAGTAGGGTAGGACAGTCAGATTGCAAGTGAGATGAGAGGATTGATGTGAAAGTTTGAAGGCTGCAGTCAAAAAGAAGCTGGGATTGAAGTCAATTTGGTAGGATTGAGCAAGTGCAGAAGTCAAAGAGTGGTTTGTTTGTTAGTAGTATAAGTATGAGAGTAAGATTGAGTTAAAAATGAAGTACGTACATAAGCGAATAGATTGAAAGAGACCAAGTTTACCGGGTGATAAGGAAGTGGAGGGGTAAAGGAAATGATCTATGATGAGAAAACAAAGGGAAGAAAAGAGAGACTAATATAAGATGATGAGTGATGAAAGAATCAAATAAGAGAAGAAGAGAAAGGTCTAACATATTGCGTAAGACGATAAAGCAAATTTGAGAATGATCGGTCAGAGAAAACACATTGGGGTTGAGGATGGAGGAAACGTCATGAGCTGAAATCGATTAATCAAAAGGTATAAAGAGAGCATTGTTCGAAGGGAAAAAGAAGGGAGAGCATCGGATTATTGTGTGTCTGATTTTGTGTGTGTATGAATCAAGTAGATTCAAAATCAAAGGGTAGTTCTTGTTCCGTTTTTTGTCTATCGTAGTGAATCATTCTAAAGTGTACATTCAAGAGTTGGTTTGAGTTGTGCGTCAAAGTCTAAAAGTGTTCTTTGCTGTTACTTGTGTGAAGTCTTTATCAAAAGCCTATTTGAAAGTTGGAAGAAGGGTTACCATTAGTGTTGTTAGTATCAAGTTCAGAAGCGAATTTTTTGTTGTTTTTTGTGATTGTGTTAGGTTGAGAAGGGAAGAGAGAAAGCATTAGCGTACCTGTGTTTTTTAGAGGGTGTAATTGGAGAAGTTGTTAGAGTCTTGTTTTTTTTGATTAGTGTTATTTTTTAGAAGGGTTATCTTATAAACCTCATCTCGAAATTTGGCCCTGAGTCCGAGTATTTCATTCTCCGGATAAAAAACCCCGCCACCGATGTAGGAACCCTTGCTGAAAATGAGTTTTAGCAAGCTGTAACTGAGTAGGGAGCCAAAGAAATAATGACAACTACCACACACACACAAAAGAAGTATATGAGGTGTGCAAATGAACTTTGGATAGAGTTAACTAGCCTACTCTAAATATTACTGAGCCTTTAAAAGAGCCAAAAGACCAGAAGAAAGAGAGGAATATAATACTTTGAGGAGTACTAAAGAAATGAGAAAAGGGTAAAAGATGAGTATAGAGTTTATTGAGATTTAAATAAGGGATAAAGGGATGGTAAGGTGCTTAAATGAATAAGACTTGTAAATAAAATAGTGTGTACTGAACACAGATGAAAAAAGGCTACACTACAATTACTACCTCAGACTATATTTCCCAAAGCAAAGTAAAGTTCAAATATAACTCAGTGAAAAGACTAATCCTAAAGGAACTACCCCAGACTACCCCCTTGAATACAACTTGCAACCAAATCAACAGACAGACTACCCTCTACTAAGAACTAGACTAATGAAAGATAAAACCTGACAAAGCTATAAGCTAACTACCATCCACAAAGTAAACGTCCAACAACTTATTGGCCAATGTGCTGTAGCCTTATACTTTTCTAAGCCTTTCAAAACCTAGGTTAATATGTTAGAATTCTAGATGAAGTGTTCAATGAAGCAAACTAAGCATATGATAGAATAATAGAACTCAATGAATTATCTAGACCAAAGGATATACCACACACTTTCAATCAGAGGGTGCAAATATAGAATATTAGACTCATGTAGAGAGCAAAGAAAAAAGTCTCCTTATATCAACTTAATATAAGGGGCAAAAAGTGATCACCAAAATAAAAAGAGAGTATAGGCCAGTTGGTACTGCCAATGAGCTATAAACTAATAGGAACTTTCCTGGATAAATTTCTGGATAACTTTCAAATCCTCCCTGTCAACCACCTGCCTTATATACACACAGCCAGAAACAATTGAATAAAGAGAAATTGAGATAATAAAAAAAGATATGAGAGAACAAACACAGGCCACAAATATGTACACACACAACTTCCAAACTCTGCCAAGACCATTTCTCACCAACATAGATAAACTTTGTACATTTGAAATATGTAATCCTCCTTGTTGCACCAAATAAATAATTGAATTGAGAGAGATTGAGTGGAAGAGAAAAAAAAGAAACTAAGCTTCCACCCTGATTGTACCAATTACATAACTGAATGAAACTGAGATTGAGTAAAATAGAAAATAGAAAAAAAGAAACTAAGAGAAAAAAATCACACATCCATCTTTTACATAACTTCCCACACATGTAGATTCTCACACTCCTCCCTTCTCACATCTTTGATATTTCAATTGTTGTTTAATGGTTTTGATATTGAGATATTTGATTTGAATGGTTTCAATTAGTCATTTGATATTGTTTGAATTCTTCAATTGATCATGTGTAATTTAGATATTTAGTAACTAGTTAATTGAAGTCATCAGACAATTGATAATTTGACATATGATGGTTTGAATTGATTGTACACTGGATATGTAATTTGAGATTGATGTGTAATAACTCAATTTGATATGTAATTACACAATTTGATATGTAGTTGATTGATGATTTTGTTACTGTGTGAGTTCATCATTTGTAATTGAATATGTAGTGATGAGAACTTTTAAAGATTGATCATTTGATCTCTTAATTGATTTGGTTTCTAGTCATTAGTAACTGTGAGATGTGAGTAAATTTCAATTTGATGACTAATAGACCTTGATTGATTGCACCATGGTATGTTTTTTAGTTTTGATAGTTGATTACCAATTCATTTGTTAGATGTCTGTAGTGAGTTTAATTATCTAGTTGTCTGATGACTAATGATTTCTAATTGTTTAATGACTAATTTGTTATTTCAATTCTTTGAAAATTGTTAATTGATTAATTGAGTGATGTCTTATTTGATTAAGAAGTTGAGAAGAGGATGAGCTGTTGATTAGTAATCTAGTTAATTAATAATCTCATCAATCTTAATTTGAATGTTTGAATGCTTTCTAATGATCAATGCTCTCATTTGACTAATTTAATTAAGCTTCATTTAATATCTCAAAATCTTTAATTAAACACTTTTGAATTCTAAATTTCATTGCACCACTCATTTCCTTTGTATGTTCTTGTTTTTCAATTCGATTCCAACCTTCCTTTTCATAATCCTTCCAACTAAACACTTCAGTAAGTACCTTTTATCCTCCTCTTTATAATTCTTCTGTTTGTTTTGCTAATTTGATTTTCAATTTGTCTTAATTTTTAGATTTCTTTCTTGCTTTTCTTGATAACTCTAAACTTTCTTTAATTTCTACTCTGACTTTTACATTAATTGCTGTTCCATTTAATTTTATTTTTATTTTAATTTTAATTTCATTCAATTTTTTTGATTCAATTTGATTCTCAATTCTTTTGATGTATAAACTACTAAACTTGTGACTGTAATTTGTTGATTTAATTTGATTTGGTTTGTAACTTGCTGCATTGATTAATAATTAATTTAATAAAACTTTGAGCCTTGATTTTGAGCACAGACTTCAATAATATAATGTAATAACTTCTTTCCAATTAAACCTTTGCAGATTGAGATTTGCTCGCCACACCGACAAATCATCTCCCCCTTCCTGCTACATCGATTTAGCACGTTACAGGTGTCACTTACCTGTGAAAGGACTGTACAGTTCCTTGTGTAGTATTGATAGACTCCGCCAAACGCTGCGCATCCAACCGCGTGGTGTAAAATAGGTTTTGGGAAACCTTAAAAAGACAAAGAAGTGAAAGTCGAGAAGCCTCATCTTAAAAATTTGAAATCATTTTTGAAGGACAAGGGCGGCTTCACAGCGCCTGTAGTTTCATCCGCTCTCACAAGTGGTGATTCTTCCCCTCTCCGGCTCAGCCTACGCTACACTGCGTAGGAGTTCTACAGCGGAAGTGCTTGGTTGCAGATTGAGCAATTCCAAGTTCCCAGTGATGATCTGAGAAGTCAATATCATGAGTAAAGTCCTGGAACCCGTGCTTTCTTGAGCCAGATCAAGTGTTGTATTGGAGCTTGACCACAACTTGATGCATAACAGGGCCTGCTGGTGGGGGTTTTTTCCCAGTAGTTCTCCCTAAGTTGATTGTAGAGTCTTCTTCTCATTTTTCATGTCAATACAATCCATACCTCTTTGCTGTGCTTTCACCATGTTTGTAAACCTCAGCATGATCAAGTATAGTCGGAGTTGATCCTGCTGACTTGGATGGTTTGGGTGCAGATTGTTTGATAGGTTGAGAGACTGGGATTGGGGTGGGACAATACAATTGCTGAGAATTTGAGCAGGTGTTTGGAATCGGCTTGTGTTGGTAGCTGGACAATGAGGTAAGTTGATTGTGGCCCTGATAGTGTTGATCGAGGCAGGGCTAAGCTCTTCAGCTCAAAGGGGAGTGTTCACCTCTT